CTCTTAACAAACGGACAGTCGGTTTTCCCTTCAAGAATCATGATAGACCCGAGGAAACACCACATGATTGACAGCCTTCTCAAATTCTATACCCATACCAAGTGCCTCAACAAAAGATTCTTTGCCTAGGTACCGATTCGAGGGAGGAACAGTGGTCATTGAAGCAACAGTGAAAAAACAGAGAAAGAAATGGGGAGCTGAAGCCAAAATCTGGAGCAGAGAATCGTGCTACTGCCGAGTTGAGTTGAGGAGGACGGTGAGCTTCGATCGTGTCCTAGCTGAGTGTCGAAGAAGAAAAGTTGTGCGGGACGTAAAATTGAAGCGATCGAATCGAGCCTCAGTTACAAGGAGAAGATGCGACTGAAGTTCGTGCGGAGGAGAATAGTGAACCTGCAACGACGAAGCGAAGCAATTGAATCGAGCCTCAGATGCAGGGAGAAGCCGCAGCTAAAGTTCGTGCGGAGGAGAATGACAAACCTGCAACAATGCAACCCCTTCCCCTTCATATCGTGTCCTCTTTTTTACAATTATGTCGTGTCTTTGGATTGTATTATGTCGTGTTTGTGTCCCCATATTCGTGTCCATGCTTCATAGGCCTTCCAAGATACCTCTGCACCGTATGCTCATATGGTTCCATCAACTTACATTTCAACATGAGCTAATCAAATTCAGTTCAGTACAACTTCATAGAAGAGCCTCTTTAGCTCAGGTTATAGAGTTTTATGAACATATCATGTCAGTAATATGGGAGAAGCTATTTGCATTGTATCTCTATTTTCATCTTAGATCTTATGATAATCCTACTCTTCTCATCCTGCTGCCGAGGACGTTTTAAGTTCTCCCACCATAAGAAATCATTTTTCCTAAGCTTGATGGTTGTTAATTTAACTCTCTAGTTTTGGAGAAAGTCTTTATACTCAAAAATTAGTTCACATATCTAGAGTCATTCTATGAATTCACCTGAATCCAAATGTCAGCAAAATCCAATAAGTCAATTTTCACTCTAAAATTCTAACTTCGCTGATATTCCATGATAAATCGATGTGACATCGGCTCTGTCACTTGACGCTTCTCGATGGAAGGGATTCACTTCATTTTCTAGATCTTACGAATAATCATTGTGGCTATGGATGACCTCACCAGATTGCCTCATCTCAAAAGCGACAAACCTTTATTGCAATTAGAGGATTTATCACTGCATATCCTCCATAGCGATCATCTTAACAGGTCATTAACGGTTTCTCCATGATGGCATGGCATCTCATTCTTCCAATGGAAGTTTTGACAGAAAAAGAAAAAGAAGTTTAAGGTTAGGTTTAGGTTAGGGATAGTTAAGTGATGTAAAAGTCGGAAATTTACATACGTAGCACTCAAGTCTTATGCATTTACGTGTCTCACACCTAAACTTTCATGTTTACGGGCAAAGCACCTTTACCTACGTATGAAAAGGAGAATTTCGGCATTAAATAGTGTATTAGTGATATTTTTGATGTGAAAGGCAAGAATTGGGTGTTTTGGCTGCAAATATAAGAGTTTGGGTGTGAGATATGTAAATGCATAAGAATTCGGTGCTGCCTATGTAAATTCCCCTTTTTTGGGTCAAATGTTAGTCGAGTGCTTAGGGTTTTAGTGGCATGTGTCAAGGCGGCTTTTTGGTGGAGGTTTAGGCTATGCGAATATTAGGTTGAGATGTGCGAAAAATAAAATCATAATGATTTAAGGTTTGACGGGTTTTGATAACAAATGATACTGAACTACGACAACTAATTTAGTGTGTAAAGATTTAAGATGGATTAGGAGGGTTGTAGGATGAAAAATACAAGGAGAAACTACAAAGTGTGGATGGCAAAAGAGATCCACCACATGTTATTGAGCAAGATAAAGACATACCACTTGCAAAAGAAAGAAGGTGTGGTACTCCGAAGAGCCAAAATAGATAACAAAGTCTCCAAAACACAAAACAAATCTGCCAAAATTAATAAAATAGCAAAATACAAATATTTCCTCTCACAACCACTAAAACTAAATATGGACTCAAAAGGGTTGGGCTGCTATTGCGGGTGGGATATTAGAGAGGAAAACCTAGTATAGCAAAAAGGAGCGTGGGAAACCTCATCTCATGCTCAATCCTATATAAGCAAGATTGCAAAATTGTGAAATTCTGTGGAGTCCCGCAGGATCACGGGACACTCCCATGTTAAACCACACCAATTTGTGTTTTTTTGCTAGGCATTTTTTTTCTTAAATATATAATTTATCAACGTCTAATGTCACTTGGGCCGAATTTGGCTACTACTGTAAAAAAAAATTCAGTTAAGACACTAAATAAATGAATCAACTCACTATAATGTTGAAGTCACCAAGAGATGGGATAAATTTTGCTAAAAATCTTTTAGTTCAAGTCATCAAGACTGCTTGATATATCCATTCAATTCTCCATAACTATATTCCTCATTTAAACCGAGATAAACTTCAACCAACTTCAAAATTACTTAATCTTGCTAATGATTCAGCTATCAAAGTTACCCAAGCATCCAAAGCTCCTCGTAGCTTTAAGTGAAGTCATAAGAGACTTCAAGAAAGACAAACAAAATAAATGAATCAACGCACAATATCACTTGGGCCGAATTTGGCTATTACTATAAAAAAAATACAAGAAAGACACCATATAAATTAATCAACTCACTATAATGTTGAAGTCACCAAGAGAAGGATAAATCCTGCTAAAAAACCCTTTACTTCAAGTCATCAAAGCTACGTGATATATCTAATCAATTCTCCATAACTATTTCCTTGTTTAAACTGAGATAAACTTCAATCAAACTTAAAATTACTTAATCTTGCCAATAAACTCAGCTATCAAAGATACCCAAGCATCCAAAGCTCCTCGTAGCTTTAAGTGAAGACATAGGAAACTTCACCAAAAAGGATAATTCCCAAGGATCTCTAGATTTACCTAAATCTCATCAAGAGATATTCATGTAGTCTGATAATTCTCAAGGATATCTAGCTTTAACGAGATCTCATCAACGGGTATTCTTGTAATTAAATAGCTACAAGTTAACTATATTTATTCATTTTACAGCAAATATTCGGTAAGCATTGATATGTAATTTTACTAGTACTATTTAAATGCAACTTTTCCTATAGTGTTGAAACTTACCCAATGCCTATAAATAACGAGTCAGAAGGTAAACCAAATACATTCTTATTGACTCAAGTCACAACAGTTTATACTTTATAATAAAAATCTAATGAAACCCCAAAACTTTTCGTGAGGTTATTCTATACATTTTAGTAATGTTCTAATATTACCCATGGATAGATTTATCCCAACAAATAGTATTATGGGAGTATAAAAAGAGTGTCAATTCGGGTTTGACGAATCGGATTCAAGTCTAAACAAATGTTGAAACGACCAAAATATATTTGACCCAAACCCGACCCTTATACTATATGGGTGAAAATATTTGACCCAGACCCATTAAACCTAGACCCAACTCTTCTAACTCACTTATTATGTTTCATATCATTTTGTTTGGATGAATATAGCCCAAATAATTTGAATATGACCCATCTAACCTACTTAACCCAACTTGAAACTACATAACCCAAAAATCAAATAGTAATTTGGTCAATTTTGAATTGCTTTCAAACTATTTGGATCAACTCAAACCCAATCCAAATAATGGTTAAGTTTATATGCTTGACTCAAATCCGACCAAAATAATGATTGGGTCAATCCATACTCAAATCTTTCAAGTTGGGTCGGATTGGGTTTTAACACATCTAATAAAAAGGGCATTCATTGAATGGAGCTTTCATAAATATGTAGATTGATGAGGGAACAAGTTTGCAAATTTGTACGTATTTATACTTGACACGTAACAAAAAGGAGAAACATCTTTAGATTTAAATAATTAATAAGTTCTTACTTTTATTTTGAAAGATACTTACAAAATAACTGAAGTATTTAAGTACAAGTATTGGAAAAGTATAGCCCAAAATAATTACATGAAACTCAAGACTCAAAACTAATTAAGAAACAACAACCAAATGAGAAGCATGAAATCAAATTGAATTGAAAAACTTTGTAAGAAGTACTAACTGTGCATTATAACTTAGTTTCTGGGGAAAACCCCATAAATTTATATAACAATTTCTTTCAATGTCTAGAGTTAACTTAATTACTAAAACAGACCTAAGCTCACATGGTTTTGCACTTAGGTTCAATGCTTCAATTACTAGAAAACATAAACTGAACCAGATAAAGTTTAGAAGAGTTCAAATCAACAAAAACTTTGTTCTCTGTTCATCGTGCTAAAGCCATGTGCTGCTGTATATGGGTCACTGAATAAACCAAGTTTTTATCAAGATCCTGACCACTTAACAGAATTTTCGTAACTCTGGAAAAGAAACAAAATAAATATAAATACATCGAAGTAAAATCCACAAATTATATCAAATCAGTAATAAGGACATTCAACTCAGAAGCCTTCCATATCCTAGTATCATAAATTTACAAATTATATCCAAACCCATTAATTTTGTACACGCTTCTCTTAGACACACCACCCAAAGATTCTTACGCAATAGTTTTTTTCATGTTTTACTTAAAAAAAAAAAAAAAACTTCCAAACGTCAGCTTGAACAAGCTAAGTAGTTGCTAGCATGGTGTCTATAAAAGTGGATTTATATAAAATTTGCTAAATAGTTCAGTCCGTTGTTAGATGACACGAGAACACTTATGATTTTTAAGAATAATGCATGTTTATAGACGATGGGCTCCAATATTCTAGAATAAGATGGAAATGGCTCTAAAGCATTGATACGGGTGAATAAACAAATCAGACCCTGCCACAAGTGGTAAGATATTGTAAAAGACGTTTCTACGAAGGAAAAAAAAAATAACAGCCAAGTTGCCAAAAGAAAGAACCACCGTATCAGAGTAAAGAATCTGGAATAATAACAATTTATTTTGAAGAAGACTTTGAACTTACCATCCTTTCCAGTAACTTTCAGTTTCTTCAAGGGGAGTTCGATATGTGTAACTGTAACAGGTCACCAAAATTAGAGACCATCCACTAATAGAATGTTAATTTAAAGATTCTCGGAAAGTAAGACAACCACATAGATGAACCCATAAATAAATAACTAACGAGATTATTAAAAAATAAAACGACATAATTTACAATTTCAATCATTACCATTTCTTTAGTTCATCAAACTTTAATGTTGATGGAACTGATATACGAGCTGATTCTACATTTCTTAATGACCCGCCTCTGACACTCCATTCTATCTGTAAAAATTTTCCGCGCGTCAGATTCTCATTATTGATGATCCCGTACATGTTCCTTTAAGTTAAACATCAAGTAGCACAAATGTAGTGAGCGATCAATTCATGATATGGATCCTAATGGACTTTAAGAAGATTTCATTTAGTGGGCCAACAAGTCAATTTGTTTGTGACTCCCAAGGGTATTTTTACATGGATCATGCATTTCTCTTATGGATAACCTGATGGTGATCTGAGCAAGTTTATTTTACTTGCATGCATTTATAGCTATATTTTATTTTATAGTTTATACTTCGGTTAATTTATTACATATATGTGATGATGTGACTATCATAACCAATGTTTTGAAATGCGTGGGCGTTGGGCGGGGCGTTTTAGCTGTTATGGGGCGAGGCGCAAGACCCAAGGCGTTTGGCGTAAGCCCCACGGTAAAAAGAAAAGAAATATAAATATTAAGAGAAAAAAATAAGCTATTTGTGCATAATTAAAAAATTAAAATCTGTCTCTAACAAATTGCAAACATTAAAAAAAATATATACGGTTTACTGTAGCTACAGCGAAATTATTGTAGCTATAGTAAACTCCCTATAGCTATAATGTAAAATAATAAGAAATCGTGAAATAATAAAAACCTCCAACCAAATGAATCGGGCAAAGCCTGCGGGAGAGAGCGGGTGCAGGAAAGAGAAAGAACTGCGGTTAGGTGATTATAACAAAAAACTTGAAAGAAAAAATACAACAACACGACACTTAGAAATAAAGTAGCAATAAGCACGACACAACACTCAAATAGGAGGTAAATTAGGGGTGGTTGTGGTGGTGGTCGGCGAGGGTTTTGATAGTGGCGTAAGGGTCGAAAAGGCGGTTAGCAAGCAGAAAACAACAAGACAGTTGTTTCCCTGGTGTCGGATAGCAAGCAAATAGCAGGGAGTGATATGGGAGGGCTACAGGGTGTTGGCAGGAAAGAAGAGGGCTAGACGGCAGTGAAACAATTGGAAAGGGAGGTCCTGAGTTGCAGAAGGAAGGGAGGAGGACGGCGGCAGCAACGGAGGAGGACGGCGGCATCAAAGCAGAGGAGTTGCGGCAATAGCAGCAAGCTGGAATAAGGGAAACTGATGGTCGGGAGAATGTAAGGCGGCCAAGAGCGAAGTTGGGAGAATGTGGAAGGGGATAGGGAAGATAATCACCATCTCGGAAGAGATACAGTCGCAGCAACACCCAAACCCTCGAATACAGACCTCGAAGGGAGAAAACAAACGCTAGCAACTGCCCCTAAACAAACTCACGCCAAAAATTAACCCTAAACTCATACAACAATAAATATATAATAAAAGGATAACTAGGAGTGGCCCAAGTGAATCAGTCAACTCATTAGAAGGGAGAAAACTTGAATCGAATTGGTCCAAGCAAAGCAGGTAGGTAGTTGCACTATTCTTGTGATTCCCACATCAGAAAACAGGGGCGCTCCCCCATCACTGGGGTTGTACCCCTACTAGCCCGACCCACCTGAACAATCTTAATTTATATATTATAAAATTTATTAGGCATAAAACCCTAATCAATTAGGCACACTGCTTTGATTAATCTCGTCACACTGTTGCAGCTCTTCGTCCTTCACAAATCGCACGATGCAGAGGCAGTTGAAGCTAGCTTCGACGCTTTCTTGAGTCACCTCCCTCTCATCAATAGTTTCGGACCAGACAAGCCTTCTCCTTCCTTAACAACATCCACGCTTGGCACGAACATGGTATCCACCCTAGCCACCTTAGCTTTCGCAAGGGTTTCAAGCCACCGGTTCCTCTCAACCCCTTTGCATGCGATCATCCTTCACCACGCTC